CTCACCAGGCTCCCAAGCCTAACCCACTCAGTTTTCTTTGCATTACAGGTAAAGGCGCAAGAGTATAAGTTGGTTGACTTGACGAGAGATTCTGGATTATAGACCAGTAGTTGTAAATAACTGTTGTAATGTTAAATTGTATTATTTATGCTTTTTGGTCTATATCGGAACATGACATCCCGAGGTTTTATTATTTAATGAAAAGTACATTCTCTTTGAGAAATGTTTTGATAAAGTTTTATCATATTTTGTTTGGGAACAAATTCCGCAACTGTTTTCTTTAAAAGATTACTCTGATTTTAAAACAAAGCATAAACAAATCGGTCTTTTCTGGCCGTAAAATTGGGGATGTCACAATATATAAACCTTTTACGTATATATAAGTCACTTATTTCTTAAATTCCATCATTTATTTCTCTCAACTTCCCTATCTATTTCTATTCCACTGCTTCAATAACATTCATTGGATTCCAGAGGAAAATCAAAACAAGGCGGTTCTTCTTTAAAACACAAATAGAAGCAAGGTGGTTCAAGTCAAGAAATTTCATTTCCAACACTATCAGCAATGATATCAACAATACCCGGTGCAACAAAGCTACAACTCATTTCGTCTTCCACATGATAATATAGGTTTTACTCAATACATGCAATATTCTTAAGGGGTCCCTGAAACCCAATTACAAAATTCTCTGCCAGAGGAACGATCCAACCGAAGGATACGGAGGAACGATCCGACCGAAGTATCCTAGTTGTCAGGAACAAATGCGACTACACTAAAATGCCAACATTAAAAAAATGGTTGGCAAAGGAAGAGATGGTTTTTGGATGGGCGTATGTCGATGTTTCTGAAGATAAAAATCGTGGAAATCAACAAAGGTCGGATGCATTTTGGGAGTGGGTTTAAGAACATTTTAATGTTCAACTGGGTGGTACGGAACATCAAATAAACTCAAAATGGAAAGGTCTTCAAAAGAAATGCAACTATTTCCAATGAATCTTTATCCGTAAGATGAACAGTCTCGCTAGCGGGAGATCCGATGTCGATGCTCTAAAAGATGCACAGAGCGAGTACCAAAGGTTTAGTAATCATAAAGCTTTTCCTCATGAAAAGCTTGGCATGTTTTTAAACACCATGCGAAATGGTTACAGGTAAAAACAGATGGCGAAGAATCGCCACCTCCTTTTTCAAAATGAACCAAAACTTCTTCATCCAATATTGTGTACATAACATCTTTGGATGCACAATTTCCGCTCGGGTTCGACCAACAGCAACGCGAAATGAACTCACCGCGTTGGAGACAACGAAAAGAAAAGAAAGTGTCGTCCGAAGCATCAACGCCAATTGAAATAGTTGATCTGGTCAACAAAATTGTCGACATCTAACTATGAAGAAAGTAGAGGCGGAAGAGAGAAAACGATACCGAGATGAAAAATTGCGTCTTACATGAGAAAATGAAGAACAGAAAGCTACTCTCTTGTATATATATATATATATATATATATATATATATATATATATATATATATATATATATATATATATATAAAGAAAGAAAGAAATAAATAAAGAAAGAAAGAAATGCAATATTTTCTCAAGTCGCATGATAACTTGATCGGAGGGCTTCCGTGAACGGTGTTTGAATGAAAATGACAAATTGTAACAAAAGATGATTGAGAGTTTTAGAATTATCGTGGTCTCTAGTTAATTTTTATTATCGTTTTTCTTATTTTTAATGTTGTTGTCCCTTTTTTATTATGTTTTTTTTACTAATTTTCGTTTTTTTAATTTATAGTGTATTTTTTATTTATACTATTGTGTTTTAATTAAAAAAATGTTATATTTTATTTTATAAATTAATTAAATTAAAAATAGTGATATGACAGTAGATTATGAAAGATATTGTTTCCATGTGTTAGGTTGGGCAAGATAAAATAAAGAGGAGAGAGAAAAGCTGATATGACAGTGAGTTGACTGGATTGATAACGTTCCACTCCTTCCTCCCTTAGACCATTAAAGTCAAAATTTACATGTTAATTATACAATTTTTAGACATGTGAAGTGATCACTTCGTTACTTGGGGCGACGTGGACAATGGCTTATGTTTGACTCTTGTTAAATGACATGTAACTGGTCCATCTGTACATAGACTATTCAACCTCCATCACACACCACCACCATATCCCCACCATCTCTATAGGAAAATGTAACTATAGGCAGTCCGTAGGTAAATTACCGACGGAAATTTCCGTAGGCAGTCCGTAGGAAATTCCGTAGGCAATCTGTCACAACCAATTACTCACGAGCTATATTCCTATGGAGCTATTTCTATAGGCAATTCTTAGGAACCTGTTTAGGGAATCAAATGTAGGTTGAGTCTCTTTTCTAGTAGTGCCAGCACCATTATTCTTTCACAAGCCTAAATCCTGAAACATCAACATATAAATGTTTCCAGGTGCAGATCCAAATTGAGTTCTTTAACAAATTCCTGTAAATCATATTCAAGATGGGTTGCTATGATTATTGATTTTTATGGAGGGCTTAGTTGGGGTTTTAATTAAAAAAAAGAAAAAAGAAGATATGTGTACATTATCTTCTCATGCTAGCTGTTCATTAGCTTCAACCCACACCAACCTTATCGCAACCACCATTACAACCCAACACCACCAACATCCCACTTTCTCCATGATATAACACCATCGCCAACATTGATCCCTTATCCAACAACAATATTCATCGGTTTTCTTGAGGAAGAAGAGGAGCAGGCTTGCAGGCAGCTCTGAAGATTGTTGCAAACACGACCATTTGTTGCAGCCTTGCAGGTAGCTCTATTAATTAAGTTACAATTGAACACAACCACTGACTAGCACCATCACCTCCGCAGGACCGTATCAGAGGGTAGGGCAGCATGTACGATGACCCAAGGCCTCCAAGTTTTTGGGGCCCATTTTTATGTTTCTATTTATATTATTTTAGAAATAAAAAATATTTTGGTATTAAGCCGTAGCAGTTAGAGGCAAAAAAGAGCCTCATTTTATATTTTGTCTGGGGCCTCAAATCGACTTGAGTCGGCCCTGCACCTCCGATTCTACTTTAAACTTAGTCTGCCAAAATCATGAACAAATCTAGAACGGTGTCAGTGAGATTTCGATTATGTGGTTCACCGATGAGTCTTTGACGTATGTGATGGCTTCAAGAATGTAAAAGAAGCATATTTGCAGGTGGATGGTGGGTTTAAGAAGAATGTTCAGACCCAAAAACGAAGATGGCATGAGGATGAGACGACGAAGAAAAGGTGTAGAAAAAGCGGGACGTTCAAACGATGAAACCGTCGTTTCCATTTTTTTCATAATTAGGGCTACTTTTAATTCTTTTTTCCTTTATTTCACCGAGAATGAAAAACAAATATACTCCAATAAATAAAAAACTTTTTACCACATGTCACCCTCTCGTTAGTTTTGTCACATGTCATTTTTTGATTATTTTAAATTAATTTTTTTTCTACAGGTCATTTTATGGTTTTTTCCATTTTATTAAATTTCACATAGTATTTAAATGTAACAATTGCAATAAATTTAATAATAAATTGGTATCGATTTCATTAAAGGACTTACCTTCTATTCTCAAAATTTCTAAATTAAAGTCTCATTAGTTTCCTTTGTTTATTTATTTAAATTATTTGTTTAAATTTAAAAGATAAAAAAATATTTCAATTTTAATAATTCAATATTTTTCTTATTTTTCTTATAAATTCAAACGTTTCAAGTATTTAGATATTCATATTTATTTATTTTTAAATAAACTTATGTAATACATGTGTCTCACAACTAGTAGATAAATAAATCTATATGGAGATTCATGTGCATATTGTATTGTCTATTAGATGATTTAGATCCTTCTCAATCCCGATTTAAGTACATATTACCCGTTAAACTAGGATAAATCATATTATCTTTTTTAAGAGGTTATTTATAAGTTTAAAGATTTAAAAGGCACTGAAAAATTATTTAATGATCATTTAAACCATAAACAAAAATTCATGTCGTTTTTATGATAATAACCCTTCCTAAAAATATGGTATTATTATTATTTCTCATAGAAACTACGGAACCCTCGAGTGTAATATTTAGGTTGTCTCGGTTGTGCTCGCCGCTTTCGTATGGACTGTTTGGAGATACTGAGGTAATAATGTCTTCAATGACAAAATTAAAAATTGTCACATGTTGGCTAGTGGGGTGAATATGGCATTTGTTTGGATAAAAAATAGACATAGAAAGGGTTTTTTGATTAACTGATCTGATTGGTGTAATAACCCTTTACAGGAATGTCCCAAACTGATGTAATTCTAGCTGATGGCTAGATTCTTTTCAATAAATTTCTTGCAGTACAAAAAAAAAATGCTAGATATGCAATAAACATAAATACAGGGGTTGGACTGTAAATTTAGAAATTCTTTTTGAAGCGATTGGTAGATTAATTTCAACCAAACCCATTACGTGGATGAGTTTGATGGCACTATGATTCATTATGGTGGAAAAGCTTCTTGACCGCTACTTAAGTTTCATGGAACTCCAAAGTCCAAACCCTAAAAACTTAGTGGAATGTAAAGACTAAATTTTTGCGTCGAGTGGGTCACTGTTCAAAAGTGTGCAATTGCAACCAAAGACTCCAATTTAGATTTAATAATTCATGAAGCATAAAAACTAAGAAATAAATTATATTTAATAATGGAAAGGAGTTAATAATGGAAAGGAGTTATCGTATTTGACTTATAGATCCCACATACATATAAAGTATAGATTTAATAATTCATGAAGCATAAAAACTAAGAAATAAATTATATTTCTTTGAACGTATCAAAGACTCCAATTGCAACCATAACTAACTATAAATATAACAAATAAGGCACTGCATTAATTAAGATGTTTACATCTGACTTAAGTATAAATTCTAAACAGAAAAAATGAAAATAAAAATATTTCTTCTCCTTTTCTTTTCTTCCATGAAATCTTCAGCTTCAAAGAACACTACTCATGATCATCTTCAAAGAGGTTTCTCTCTATCCGTTGATGATAGTTCACACGTCTTAAGATCCCCAGACAACTCTTACACCTGTGGCTTCTATAGCTTCCAAAGCAATGCATATTGGTTTGCAATCTGGTTCACAAACTCCAAGGAACGCACCGTGGTCTGGACAGCCAACCGTGACACACCTGTCAATGGCCGTGGATCAAAGATGACATTTCGGAGAAACGGAGCCATGGTTTTGACCAATGTGGATGGAATGCTCGTGTGGGAAACAAACACAACCTCGACAGATGTCAATAGAGCAATGCTGTTGAATACGGGTAATCTTGTATTGAAGAACAAAAGAGGTCAGATTCTTTGGCAAAGTTTTGATTACCCAACGGATACTCTTTTGCCTTCTCAAACACTAACAAAGAGCAAAAGCTTGGTATCTGCTTTAAGAAGAGGAAGTTTTGAATCTGGGTATTTTGGTTTGAGCTATAACAGCATTAACGTTTTAACACTCACTTATGATGGCCCAGAAATATCAAGTGTGTACTGGCCCAGTCCTGATCCTGGATATAATGTGTGGGCTTATGGAAGAACCTCCTACAACAGTAGCAGAGTCGGAATATTCAATGATTTTGGTGCATTTAGCTCGAGCGATAGGTGGCAGTTTAATGCTACAGATATGAGTTTTGGGATCAGAAGGAGGTTAACTATGGACTACGATGGTAACCTCAGAATTTATAGCTTGAACGAGTCAACTGGGTTATGGTCGATCTCATGGCAAGCTATGGCACAACCATGCAATGTTCACGGCATCTGCGGGAGAAACGGTATTTGTGTTCATGGACTTAAAATGGAATGTTCATGCCCACCTGGTCACCGGTGGACTGACCCTAATGATTTGGGCCAGGGTTGTCAGCCTACTTTCAATAAAACATGTGTAAACTCAACAAAGTTTGGATTTTTAGAACTGCCGCATACAGATTATTATGGCTTTGATCTTGATTATCTGCCTCTAACTTCATTTGAAACCTGTAAGGACACTTGCATGCGAGATTGTAGATGTGAAGCATTTAGTTACAGGCTCACAGGTCAAGGCCTTTGCTTTACTAAAAGTGCTCTTTTCAATGGGATTCGATCTCTTGTTTTCCCAGGATCCATCTACTTGAAAGTACCTATTGGCATGAAAACAACGAAATCTGTCTCAATCCTCACCAGTTCTAATGCCACATGTGTAGAGGTCACAGTCATGGTGGGTTCTCCATCCATGTATGAATCATCTGGCAAGAAGGTGAAATGGCTTTATCTTTATTCCATCGCTTTGGCAATTGGTGTGGCTGAAGCTTCGGTTATCATGTTAGGGTTGTGGCTTTTCTATAGAAAAAATGCCCTCCTAACCAACCTAGAAGATGGTTACCGTATGATATCAAGTCACTTTAGGGGTTTTACTTACGAAGAACTGATGAAGGCGACACAAAACTTTAAGGTGGAGATAGGGAGAGGAGGCTCGGGGACTGTTTATAAAGGAGTTTTGGAAGACGAAAGGGTGGTGGCTGTGAAAAGACTAGAAGATGTGAGCGACGGTGGAGAGTTTTGGGCAGAAATGAGCACAATAGGTACAATCAATCACATGAATTTAGTGCGAATGTGGGGATTCTGTTCGCAGAAAAAACACAGACTTCTGGTGTATGAGTACGTGGAAAATCTTTCTCTTGACCGCAGATTGTTTTCTACGACTTTTCTTCAATGGAAAGAAAGGTTCAAAGTTGCCATAGGCATCGCAAAAGGTTTAGCTTACTTACACCATGAGTGCCTAGAATGGGTGATTCATTGTGATGTAAAGCCAGAAAACATTCTTTTAGATGGGTCATTAGAACCAAAGATTGCAGATTTTGGTCTAGCAAAGTTGTCTGAGAGAGATGGTGAAAACTCGGCGTTTACAAGGATCAGAGGTACGAAAGGTTATATAGCTCCAGAATGGGCATGCAACCTGCCTATCACGGCAAAAGTTGACGTCTACAGCTACGGGGTTGTGGTTTTAGAAATGGCGAAGGGAATTCGACTTTCTAGTATGATTTCAGAGGAAGGAGAAGAGGAAGAGTCGGAGCTTATGAGGTTTGTAAGGGTAGCGAAAACAAAGTTCCAAAAAGAAGAAATGGAATCATGGATTGAGGAGATTATTGATCCGAGGTTGGGAGGGTTGTTTAGCATGAAACAGGCTACAAAACTTGTTGAGATAGGTCTAAGCTGTGTGGATGAAGACAGAAACAAACGCCCTACAATGGATTCAGTAGTCCAACTTCTAATCGACTGCGAGTCTGAATAGATATGCTAAATAGCATAACGGAAAGAAAGAAGACATTTGAATTTTATGGTTATAGCGATGATCAATATTCAACATGCATATCAAGTTTACAATTTACATAGATATTAAATAAATGTTTGTGGTTGTTAAATTATTGATCATATGTTAAAATTAAATAAATGCTTGTGGTTGTTAATTTAACGATTGCAAAATTGGTTGGTTTGTCAATTTCTTTGTAATGTCCAAAAAAAGTTTATTAGCAAAAAGATCCCTATTTGATGGTTTTGTTGTGGTTTTGGTCTCTAGCTCATTAAGTTTAACATATTTTTATGTTAACTTTTTGTCAATGACAGTTTTACCCATAGAGACTATTTCTGTAGTTTTATATTTTTACCAAACTATAAGAATTGCAATTTTTCTTTTTTATTTTAATGAATTATTGTACGATAATTCTTTAAATTATTTTTTTAATTTCTTTCTTATTATATTATTTTTAATTGTGATATTATTATATTAATAAATATTATTTTTATTATACTATATTTATAGATTAAAAATATTATTTTATTTGGTTATTAACTTTTTTTAATTAATAATTTTTTCTTAATTTTTGATTATTTTTTATATTATTATTAGTAATAAATTATATTTTAAAAAATAATATTATCTATTAACAAATATCACTGGATTATTAATTTAATTCAATTAATTTTTCTTTAAAAAAAAATTATTGCGTTGATTATGTTTATTGGGTTATTACTTTAAATTTATTATTTTTATTTATAATAAATATTATTTTTTAATTGTTTTCTGTATTATTTTAAATAAACACACCAAAAAATCTCACCCACCCTATCTCTCCTAATTTATTTTAAATATTTTGAAGATAACTTACTTTAGACAGTACCACCACTATCACTCTGTCACCACCACCACTGTCGGACCATCTCCAACCCTTGTTACTATATATATATATATATATATATATATATATATATATATATATATATATATATATATATATATATATATATATATAGGGCTAGGTTATAATGTGGATGGACAACTATTGTGTGGACGTGTGGACAATGCTATTCTATGAGAATTAATAAGAGAATAGGTTGTTTGCTAATGTGAATACGTTCAATCTTACACAATTATCGTCATTTTCATGCATTTTCACTAATTCTTATTCATTTTTGTTCTCACGCATCGTTTTTTACTCATTTTAATTCTAACAGAATACGACTAAATAAACATTATGACAGAATGAGAATAATAAAAAAAATCTATAATAACCTTATACACGATTTAATTAGTGAGAATGCGTGATAATGACAATAGTTATGTAAGACTGAACGTATTCACATCACCAAACAACATATTTTCTTTGTCATTCTCACATAATAGCATTGTCCACACGTCCGCACAATAGATGTCAATCCACATTTGAACCAGCTCTCTCCCTCTCTCTCTCTCTCTCTCTCTCTCTCTATATATATATATATATATATATATATATATATATATATATATATATATATATATATATATATATATATGTTAAGTGTAAGCTTTGAATCATGTATGTCGATGAGGGCTCTTGCGGTGCTCAAGAACGGTCTTTCCAAGATTATGGGAAGGTCTTCGTCTTCTTTCATGTCTAGAACCACAAAGTCAACTGGAAAAATAAAATTTTCAACTTTCACCAATAATCTTCGACAATCCCACGTGGGTGAGTGATTGAGTAATCCGCCATTTGAAGTTTCATCCTTGTGTTTTGTAGTTTTGGTAGATCGAGGTTCACGTAAAAAGAGTATGGCATGAGATTGATGCTAACCCCCAAATTGGCTAAAGCATTTATTGAAATAGAAGTTCAAATTCACAAAGCAAAGTCAATCGGCCCGCGTCTCCCATCTTGATTGGCAATCCATCAATGATTGCAGCAGAACATAACTCATTAAACACAATAGTGGATGCTTTTTCCAACTCTTTTCGGTTAGTCATTACTTCCTTAGAAAATTTTGGAAGCTTATCCGTGGATTTGAGGAATGGAGCATTTATCGAGAGGGATAACACTTGTTCCATGAACTTCTTCTGTTCCGGCTCCAAAGTATGCTTAAGAGATCGAGATGGATATGGCAGAGGAGGTTGGTATGCTTTTAAAAAACGAAGATTTTTCATCTTCCAGTGGCCACGTCGTGGGCACTGGGCAGATGGCTTTTCTTTTGCTGCTTCGTGCTCTATTGCTTCCGGCTATGGATCGGGTTGTTCGGTATATGTATCGTACATCATAAATAGCTCATAATCTTCCTCTTTCTCGGTGTATATAGCCATAACGTGAGGTTATGGTATTGGATCCAGATATTTAGGAGGCAACCTCTCGTTTACAAGTTTTGTCAATTGCCCCATTTTCACTTCAACGCTTGATATTTCTTCTTCATATTTGTCACCACTTAAATAGCACACTTGAGCTTTCTGGTTACCGTTCTCGTCCAAGTCACAATCTTTCGTCAAATGTGGCCCATTGCAATTTTCACAACCCACACGTATGACATGTATGGCTTGATCCATCTTCGTCATTCTTCGATCCATATTCTTTAGTTTTGCCAATACCACCGATATGCTCTCGTTTTCACCATCCTTACTTCCCTTTGCTTCTAGTAGTATCACCACGAGGATTGTGGTACTCCCACGAGTGTTTTACGAACTCTTCAACTAAATCCTTGATCACTGTCGGTTCCTTCTTTGGTATCGGTCCTTGAGAATCAATAAGTTGCCTTGTGGTCACATTTACCCCATCGTAGAAAATATAAACCTCTTGTTGAACGTTTAAATCGTGTTGTGGGCAATGTCTTAACAATCCCTTGTATATTTCCCGAGCTTCATATAAGGACTCCCCACTTTCTTGTTGGAAGTTAGCTATTTTCATCTTGAGTTTAGCTATCTTCGATGGATGGCTAAATTGTTCAATGAAAGCTTCACGAAGGTTGGACTAAGTTCTAATTGTTCACGGCTCAAGTGACTTCAAGCATACTTTTGCATCCCCAGTAAACGTCATTGGAAGCATCCTGAGTGGTACCGTATCTCTTGAAACATTTGGCACATGGAAGTAGTTGGCTATGTCTAGCACCTCATCAATGTGATTAAAAGCGTCTTCATAGTCCTTGCCAGAAAATGGAATGTTTTTTAGTTAAGAGAATATGTACCTTGAGCTCAAAGTTGGTTGCAGTCGGAATTTCTGGTGGTACAAGGCCTGGTCCTTAATCATCACGGATCCACTTCTTTTATCCTTCCATAGTCATTCTGGTGATGTCTGTCATTTCTTCTTGTTCGATATTGATATCGTCCTCTGAATCGCTTCATGTACCTACCACATATCCTTCTTCTTTCTTGATTGGAGTCTTCTCAAAAGTGCTCGAACATGTCGATTTGAAAAGCGTTGCTTGAATCGCTGACCTTCTTGTTTTTTTTTTTGTGGAAAGACGATTCTGGATCTTGAAGTTGTGGAACTATTGGAGTTTTAAATCCTCTGGTCATAAATCACTGAAATAAAAATAAAATAAAAACAAAACGTGTAAAACGAATAAAAACTAAAAACTGTATGTTACGTGACCACGACGTAGCCAAAGATTCCCATGACGTGGCTGTAGATCAGACATGAAAAATATAATAAATGCAGAAAAATAACTTTTGACGTTTTTACCCCGCAAAAAGGATCAAATAACTAAAAGCAATTATAATAAAAATCAAATAAGTCGTTCCCCGGCAATGGCGCCAAAAACTTGATGTGCACAAAGTATACCTATCAACTGTTAAATTTGTAAACTTAACTAATTTATGCACCTATAGGCAGTGTACCTAGTCGGATTATAGAATAGCTTAGGTAAGTCGGGTTTCAATCACAGGGAACCGAATTTAACTAAACTACTTCTAATTATAATAAGAAAACAAACTTCAAATTGGGGTTTTTACTGATTTTACAAGTTCGGTAACTTAAATCAAACTACTATCAATTAATCAAACTAACAAGCAAAGAAAACAATTTTTAACTTCAAGATTAAAGAGTACTTCCGTTTAGTTTCGATCCCCCCTTCTCTTATGGTTGATTTCTAGTGGATGAATTATATTAATTACCAATTTATTAATTTACTAGTTATTATGATCAAATATCTAGATGTACCAATTTATGAATTACCATGCAATGATCAAACACAGTTTAAACACAAAATCGATATGAGGACAAATTGGACTATGAATGATAAATCTAGTAGTTACTTTCCTATGATCAGTCACGCAACCTGTAATGCCTCGATTCTCAGGTATTGAATTAATATAAGAATTTTCTTGTTTTCAAGGTCTACTCGACGAGTTGGTTGCCCTACTCGTCGAGTAGCAGCGGGTTGGGTCGCGTGTTTTAGTGACCTACTCGCCGAGTCCAATAAGGGACTCGACGAGTAGGAGCTGGAGGATGAAACCCTAAATTTCGGGGTTTTGCATCCTATTTAAAGGACCATTTGCCCCTTAGCCTCCCTTTGCAGCCTCTAGAGAGTTCAGCAAAACCCTAATACGTGTGTGTGCTCCATTTGTGTGTTTCAAGCCTTGGAAGAAGATTCTTAGAAAATGGAACTTGAAGATCAAGTAGCTAGCAGCAAGGAGCTTGCGTGGACTTGAAATCTACCTCAGATAGCACCATTTGAAGGTATCAAGTCGTTACCTTGACCTTCTTTCCTTCTAGATCTCTTTTGGGTTGAAGATTAGGGCTTTTCATCATGTTATGAAGCTATTCTTGGGTATGAGCTAAGATCTGAACTCTCCTTGGTCTTTAGGTCCATAAAGCTTACAGCTTTAGCAAGTATAAACCCTTCCTTTTGAGTTAAACTCCATTTCAAGTTTAGATTTGGCATTATGAGTCATTAGAGCCTTGCATGCACGTAAAGTTTGCAACTTTACGTGATAAACGTGCATTGGGAAGCTGGATCTGCAATTTGGAGCCTTAGCATGGCTTAAAAATCGTTTGT